TTTCCTTTTTCTTTTTCTTTTTAAAGGGTAGCCTCTAGCAATGATGCCAAACCTCCCAAGGGATACCAAAATCTTCAATTCACACCACGAAATGAGGCTGAGCAGATCTCACCCCTTACAAATGGCAGGAATCCACTCCCACCTTCTTGCAAGGACACCAGGATGATGAACTTGTATCACATTCCTTTGGCTTGAGCTGAGTCCTGTCCTGTCATCCCGGAGGGAGGGGTACTCAACAAAGTTTTAGACAGGGAGGCTCCACTCCAAGGTCCAACCCCTTACCCTGTTATAGACCATTTATTACAGAAGAGGTAACCCTCAAACTAAAAAACTTGATGATGCCAGAAAGATATGCATAAACAATTTGAACAATCCAGCCCAGGACTGATCTGATCTAACAGAGCCCAATAACCTGCCATATTATTGCACTTGGACGATAAGAAGAATATCTTGTTGCACAAAAATTAGGTAGCCCCAGCAACTGAGCACACTACGTTTGGTTTCTAACTACGCGAATAAGTAGCAATGATAGATTCTACAAAAAAGCCATGTACTTTTCTTTCGCATAATTTCAATAAAAATAGTTCAATAGCCCAAGTTCGATATATCAAAATTAATATTCTAACATGACTCCGAGGATTTCTGATCATTTTTCTACATTTTGTTTGGTTTTCTTTGTGCTCAGGTCTTTTTTGGGAATTGCGAGACAATGCATGCAGTCTTGAAAAATTTACAACTATGACCCTAAAGCCTCGGAGTCATGTTAGAATAATTATTTTAGTATATTGAACGTGGGCTGTTCCCAGCGCGTTTACCAACGTTAAAGTTGCACACCAGCAATGAGAAATTTTACATAAATTTTATAACCAATGTACAACATGGCGATCAACAGGCGAGTTTGCAAAACAATTCCCATTAAAAAATAAATCAACAATGACGGGTTTCAATATATACCTCCAGGTTGTATTCATGCTGGCTTTCCTCTTGCTCCCAGGTCCAGCCGAACTACTACAGTATCAATCCAGTATGCAGTGATCAGAATAAAGATCTTACTTCCAGCCTATTGCCTAGAAACTTTAAAGAACGCAAGGTCATTATTTTGAAAATAGTCCTTATTTATCTCAAATATTTTCCAGAAGAAACGAAAACATGAAAACAGGCTCACTCTCGCGTCCGCCATCTTAATCTTGAACTATACTGAGATGCGCGCTACTGGGCACTAAAGTTTAATTCTAAGGAGTCTTCTAATTGGCTGCCACATTGTGAAAAATATTTCATTGGTGAGCAACAAATATCGCGCGAAATGCGAAAAAAAATCACACTTTTGTCTTAACGCTACTTGATCACGTAAAAAGTTCAAGGAGTTTTTTTTCACACGTTGACGCTTTTGGTAGCTTAAGTGACGCTGTTTCAAATTGAGACCAATCGATCTATTCTAATTATTTAAACATAAAGAGTTACTGAGATGTGTGACTACTGGACTGAAATGGAATCGCTGTTTTCGTTAAATTCGCGACTATCAAACTCACGGGCAGTAAACCAGGAGGATAATAACACTTCCCGTCAAATCAAAAGTTGAATGAGTGAATTTGAAATACGGCAGGTGATGTGTTTCGGAGACTAATCTGCTGAACCGTGGGTGTGGAACAATGAACATGTTACATAATTTACCCCTACAGACCTAAGTTTCGTAGTTGGAAATGCAAAGCGGCTGAGTGCTTTGATTCTTTTTTTTTTTTTACTTTGAATTATTTTGTTTAAAATATCGTAACCCATTTTTATGTTGAATTACATTTTTAACTTTTGGCTGAGTCGTAAAAGGGTGCTTGGCTTTCGAATTCTATCATACTTAGTGTACGTGCGCGTGACTGAGAGCAAAACGTCAAATGTATAAACAACTTATAGTCTTGTCCGCGCTTAATTCAATTTGTTTGGTACACATGCAAAGTTGATTGAGTTGATTGTTGTTATATCATTCAGTGTTATATGTAAACATATCATTGAAAAAATTGCTTTTAAAATTTTATTTCTAAACGCTCAGGTTCTTCAACATGCGACTATTTTAAATACCGTCTCTTTAATACCCTCCAAGATATAGGAATAAGGTCTCCTTTAAATGCGTGCCTAATGAAACATCCCTTACGCTATAAACGAAGACGAAGAACAAATGTACGTTACACATGAAATACAAGCTATTAAGGACCAATTTGGCATTTGGTCCCTGTTTTGCCTTGTTAGTTTATCTTCTTTTATATAAATTAGCCTATGTTTAACAAACAAAGTTGGATTTAGAATCAGAACGACAACAATCGGGCCGGAAAAGAATTAGAAATTGATCACCTTTGCAAAACCGACTAAGGAGCCTAACGGTTCGGTAAATTTTAGGGGAACAAACCGTCATGCAGTGATAAATTATTAATTACGAGTTTTATCCCATGTGGTTCGACTGGATGGTCGATTCATGTATTCTTTAGCTTGATTACATCTATCAATTCTGTGCAACGACAAACTAGTCAGCTTTCGATTATGACCTATATATTTCCCTGGCCAGCATTACTTCATTGGGGAACATCACCGAAACGACTTGAACTGAAAGGCCTCGAATTTCGAACAGAGTGACTGTTAAATGAAAATTAAATGTATTAATCAGTTAGAGAATGAGTATTGAGCAAATAATTTAACAATTTCCAAAGAATTCTGGTTGCCAAGTGACCTCCGTTTTTGTTAAGTGAACACTGATGAGGCTAGACAAGCTCGGAAAACCCTGTTATTTGTTACTGGGGAGATGCGCCATATCGTCGACCGTACAAAGGCCCGAGCCCTTGACTTTGGGACTATAGCAATGTTTACGAACTCATAGGAAACAGCTGAAATTCCAGTACATCTGTTTACCTAAAAACTCACACTTTTCTTACACTAAAATAGATCCAATTTATTGCGATAAACAGCTCGTGCAGCCCAAGTTATATTTATTAAAAGAGGGCTTTTATCCGTGTCAACCAGACGCTTTTGTTGAGGGCTAAATACAATGACCTTGCGCCACGTGCTCCAGTCGTAGTCAAGTTCAAGTCCATTATCTCTCTAGAAATGTAACTTCTAACACGTGCCTGCATTTAATTGCTTTGCGGACCATTTCCTTGGCCGATATGCGCCACAACTTAAAAATGTGGCGAGAGAGTCTGCAAAAGAGATAGATAACGAAATTTCAAGCAATTTCCCCAAGTACCAAGTGGTTGTATTAGTTAAGTGATTGCGATGGCAACAGTAGGGTCCGCAAAAATAAATTTGGTGATGGGTCAAATTGGACAACATGGAAACGTAACTAATTGCATTCGGGTGAACTTGAAAAAAAGGGTCAAGAGGCCTGATATTCTTCATCCAACTTCCCTCGATCTCGGTGTTCAAGGAGATCCTTCGCCGTGGCATTTTTCAAAACGTTAACTTTGTCAGTTTGAAGTTTAAAAAAAACGTTGAACCATTTCAAAGCAAAATCAGTATTGCGTTATGCGAAGACTGACAAAAAGCCTAGCACGGTAGTTTCACACACACAAAAAAACAAAAAGACAAAAAACAAAAGAAAAGACAAGAAAAACACCACAGGCCTGACATAAAGCGGAATTAGATGAACTTACGGACGACAAGCGTAAACACGATTTCCTGTTTTTATATAGTTAAACAAATTAAAAAGCGATTAAAGTGAAATAAAACATAAAAATATGTCACTGTCATTTGTTGTTTGTTTTGCGGTGGTTTGGTCGACAAGCCTTTAAAAATGGGTCAGTGTATATGACTCGAGCTCTGGCGCGAACGATTCAACAAATTTGAATTAAACTAGCCAGCAATTATATGAAAAACAATTTTTAAACACGATGTTTACGCTCTGGCGTCTCTTTTTGTTAGGCTTTTGTAGAATGTTACAAAATATTTTGAGTATTCATGTTAGGTTGACACAATTCACCTTTATTTCCACAAACATATACCCTCAATGCTGTTTGCCATTTTTTGCACCTGTTAAATTTCATGTCTGTCTTATTTATGCTCTGTTTACAAAGCATTGATTATTCTTTCACTAAAGACCTTCAAAATAATAAGTTAGAGCCCCATTATGTCATTTTAGCGACAAAAACAACACTGAAAAAAAGCGTTCATGATCACTATCGAATGAATTAATTTCCCCCTTTTTTAGTCGAAACCTCGTAAAACTAGCTAATTTCATTACATGTAATTGGTTTTCTAGGGCTAACAGACCAACAATGTGTTTTGTCTAAATGTAGCGGTAACATAACCTAATTATTGTCTAATAAAATTTACTGAGTTTTACGATTTTTTTCGTTGCCGAGATGGTTTTTATAACCATCTCTGCCACTATTTTCGTGAAAAAGTCTTAATTCTAAATGCTACAAGCAAACCTTTTACAGCGCGCTGTTTTGTTTCACACGGAAAAAAAGCGAACGAACTGGTGGAACATGCTGTTTAAATAATAAATAAATTACCACGCCTGGACTGATTAAAGGTGCTTGTGGGGTATTACGGTGTTTTGGTTTTGAACACCTCCTCAAACACATGTATTCAATAGTTTCTTCAAAACCTACTCATCCTTGACAAGGCTTGCTGTGACACGAAGGATGTTAGTTTTACAATGCATTCTTTAAACCACCTAAAATTTTGCAGGCGTTATTAAAATATTGTAATTTCCCGCGTCGGTCGCAAGCTGGCGGAATGTGAAATTGTTTCTAAGAGTGCGTTAGTAACTCACGCTATTTATCAAGCAAATGCATGAAACAATTTTGAATTAACGAAAATGTCACTCACTGTGATGTGGGCGAACAATGATATGCGGGTTATCCATTTAAGAGCTTGCAAGTCGATTTCAATTCAATGTCACTTTGGTTCGGTTCCAGCACCCCCTGTTGCGAAGTTAAGTGGTATGGATTATAAATGTGGCTACAGCAAGCGTTCATTTCGTATCCAGCCCCAGCCGTTAAAGGTGTCGTAGAAACATGCTACGCAGTGGACTTTCGAACGGTCAGACTGGTCCGTATCCAATGGACCCCGCATTTTGTTACAAGAGCTTCCCTGCTTTAAAAAGCGACAAACAATTCCCATGGCCACGAACCCAACCTTATCAGTTGAGTGCAGATCACGCTATTGACTGGTCGTCCGCAAAGAAGAGTTCAACAAAGATTCCTGAGTACATGTCAAACACTTTCTTTCAGCCAGCCCTACACCAAGACGGCAGGAAATTTGAAGAGCACAACATGAGCTACTTCTCTAGTATGCCTCCAACGCGACCAAAGTCTAGAAGATTCTCAATGACCTACGTCGCGTTAATAGCTAGAGCAATCCTTCAATTTCCTGAAAAGAGACTGACCCTCTCGCAAATTTATCATGTCATCGAGAAAACCTTTCCAGAGTTCACCGTTTCCAGAGTTGGTTGGAAAAACACCGTTCGCCACAACTTGTCTCTTCACGATTGCTTCGTCAAAGGAGAAGTATCGGCAAACGGAAAGAGCTGCTACTGGCATATACATCCAGCCTACATCACAAGATTCAGCAAAGGAGATTTCCGCAAACGCCCTTCCAGGGAACACAGTGTGTCGGACGAACGTAAAGCTATTCCACGAGTCCGCATCGACAGACCCTACACATTGCCCTACGCGTTTGGAGGAGCTGATTCCCGATTTGAGTTTCCATACGCTGGTGAGAGCCATTCTGTTTCTCAAGTGCTTCAACCCGCTTTCTATTCAAATTCTGCTTCAGTTCCTCGCGTGACCACTACAGCTCATCCCTCCACAGAATGGCTTCGAGAGTACAAACCATATCCCTACTACTATCTGTTCTCGCCAAAAAGCGTCCCGTTGGATTCCCAGCAAAGGGAAAAGAGCCCAGTCTCTTCTAAATAGCGCCATTTAAATTTCACAGCAATATTTGTGCCAACAATTTATAACCAGTAATGACCTGTATGTACATAGTTTTAGACATTTCGAAATTTAAAGGCTATTGAAATACGAAAGGCTGTCATCCTTTTTAAGAAATATGTATTGGTTACAATTGTGCAGAGATTGAAAGGATTAGACAACAGTGAACTATAATAGATGTAGTATCATACGCCTACAGACATGTGAGTCGAAGGAACTAATATATATAGACATACTATGGCTTTCTATTACAATATACGGCCTAACGATGAAACTTTTACAGTCGAAAATATTACGATAGGGTAAGAAAGATTTGTATCTCCATTTGTGAAGGACATGTTCGTTTACTTAACCAAAACTGAATTAGAAAAAAATAAGTTATATTATAAAAGACTTTTTCTGATGTTATTTTGTTTCTAAGGCAAAAAGGTAGTTTTACTAATGTGAAGTTTTGTGAAATAAAGTTTTTAGACCACCATCAATGCATTAAGTCATTCTTCAGTTTGTGTTGTGTCAGTCGTGGAGGAATCTTAAGAGTAGTCGATCGACTTTTGCAACGCCTGTATCCGAGAGCGCATCAAGCAATCGAGACTTTTTTTTTTAATATCCTAAAAATATCAATGGTCTTTGACTATTGATGGCTTGTACGGCCCTCTGGAATGGAAATTGCTAGCAGCTTAAAAATATTACTTGGATAACGTTCAAGTTTCAAACGTTCAAAATTCTGCAGGATATTAACAAATCGTTTTTAACTCCTTATGGGATAGTTCATCATATATAATCTTGGAACATAGCAGGATAACCTCTGAGTATCCATCGTTTACGTTTTTTACCGGCTAAAAATGTCTTGTATGTCTTAAGACTGATCTGTATATATATACTGTATAGATATTGGCCATGTTCTATTGAGTATCATGCATCAGGAGCTTTTCTTGACTGAAAATGACCATTTTAATGCTATGTTTATCACGAATTACAATTGATGAAAATTTTTACACTTTCTATCCTCGTAGGCTGAAAATTATTTGTTGTCAGTTTGTTTTGAAAAAGAAAGATGTTTTATAATTTTATTTGTGTATTGGTAAGTAAAGCTAATACTGCTGATATGCTGCGGAAGCCGAAAAGAAAAGCAACAGATATATATTTAGGTGAGATCCTTCCTTTTCCATTCAGTTGACTAATGTTTTGAAGTGCACAGTTTTTCAAAAATATAAAATCAAAGAATGAAAAAGAAAATCCACTTAATTAACTGACATTCTCTATCTCTATTTTATTATTTTTCATGGCATTCTCTCATACTATGACCGTTTTTTCCCTTAGTATAAATGCAAACTATTGAAAATGGTTATTTGTAGTGAAATATAACTGGTCTCAACCTTTTGTTGGCTTGATCCCAACCAACAGTTATTATTAAAGTACTCATAGTATGTGTGGGCTCCTCTCGGTGAGGGTAAAAAAGTGATTAAAAAAAAAAACACCCCAAAAATGGAACTATGTTTAATTCTAAACATTTTTTTTTTTTCACAAATTATTAGTTTTTTCGACCAATCTTCACGTTACATTTCTTTTTTAGCGCCATTCGTATTGAGATGATATTTTTCATCATATGGCCGAAAATCAGAGTTAGTTTTTCTCGGATTGTGTATCTAAGCCTACGCGCTGCTTGTAATGACAAAATTTAAATAAAAACGCTTTTTGAAAAAAAATCATAGTTAAAAAAGTGTGATTGAAATCTGCAATGCTATTTCCCGCGATACAGAGAAAACATTACTTAAGGTTTCGTTTGAATCGTCATAACGTACATTTTCATTCTTAGCCAAGTAAAATTTTCTTCGCAAACACTTGGTAAGCGACATATACCAAAAAAGGCCAGTGAACTTGGGAAGATCTAAGCTGAGATACAGTTACATTTAGTGAACCATGATTTACTTGCAAAGAAGTTTTGATTTTATTTTCTAACTTATTAAATGACTTATGAAAAAAGAGGTTTGTTTGAGTTACTTCACTCAGAATTTTTGCCGTGGGCGTTTTCTACTCTGATTGTGACTTAAAATAATTAACAGAAATGTGCTCTCTGATAATCATTAGTCGAAGTATAGGTGCAGCCATATTCTTGATGGTGAAGGCTCTGGTTTTAGTTAAACCAACTTTAAAAGGAGTTTTTGAGAACTGGTCTTCGAATCTCAGTGGGCAGGACGAATACACACTGAATTTCAACCTCGTTTAACAAGATTACAAGCAGGTTGAAAACGAGCAAGAGAATGTTTACCAAGTTCTCAGTTCCCTTCGGCAGGTGAAACAATTCCTCAAACGAAGCTTACCACATTTCTCTTTTTTACAAGGTGAGCAGTTCGTGTATATGGCTAGATGTTGGGCATTAAGCAAAATTGCTGTGATTTTTCCTGGCTTATTACTATATCGACGAAGATTTCAATAGTATTATATCATGATACGCTCGAGGAACTTGCCTTGAGGTAATTAAGTTAGTCCGTTATCACTTCAGCCTATTAAATCTAGGAACGCGTTGTCAAAAAAAACTCTAGAGGAAACAGAGAGAAATTGGCTAAAAATAAAAACGTTTTGCCCAAAATGTCAATTTCAGTCCTGCCACACAATGAAATTGATATAATAGAATTCAAAATTGATGAAATGTAATCATTTGAGTTAGCTAGGTAAAACAGGCAGTATTACGAGAAAGTAAGGCAATTGAAATAACATACTTTTGTGGTTCGCTGTCCTTTCAACTAAATTTTAAGTATGCCAAGATTACCAAAAAGAACAACAAGAGAAAAGCACTTTTCAAACATTGATGTGCCATCCTTCATAAGCTTTCATGTTACTCGTACTCATTTTTCGCTTATCATTTTCTTTAATTTCATCGCACTTTATGGAATTTCGATGTCTTCTTTCTTTGCTTGGTGAAAACTAGTGAGAAGACACACACCAAAATTAATTTGAATCTTGTCCTCGACCACGTTTGTCAACTGATTTGCTCTTACTTTTGTAGTAGTGCATATGTATTCGGCTGTATTCGGAGTATTCCAATTTTGCAACGATAGCTACATTTAGAGATTTCAGACAATTTTGAGTTTGGTCCACTGTCAGATAATTGCAAACACTAATGTTCTTTGGTGGTTACTTTAAACACAGATATCGTCAAGAGGTTCTAAGAATCAAAGTTCCCGAAAAGTATTCAATCATATTTTTTAAGGTACTAAAGAAATAAAATACTACCACAAAGATTTTATTTCAATAGTCATATAATATGTTAAGTGAAAATGTACAGAGATAAGAAGCTATAAGATAACAGGAAGGAAGGAAGATTTCCCTTAACACATAACGTTAAAAAACCGGTTGTAGACCATGTTCAAGTTACTAAATTTTAATTTCATCTTCCCTTTAGTTTAAGGAATTATTAAAAAGAGTGACTTAAGCTAAAAATAAGCGTCCATTGTTTGAATTTGTGCGTGGGTGATGAGTGAATTCAGGTAGAACTTCTATGTAGGCGTTTACTGCGCTCTGCTTGTGTCACAGAAATAATTCACATATTTTCGCAACGCGAAGATTTTACGTGTGGCTAATTCTTTACAATCAACGCACTGATTTCTCCAAAAGGATCGACTAAGATGATGTATAATAAAGTCCTACCAGAATTTAATTTAAATCTGCTAAATATGAATAAACACCGAGCTCATTTGGCAGATAACACACAAGCAAGAGTTTTACAAAATATGGGTACCCAAGAGAGTACATGTGGCCACTTTCCAAGTCTTTTCTCTGAGTAAGAAACAAATCAATTTGGGCGTATCATTCGAGCTTGTACGCTGTTTTTCTGATGGTAGTTTGATTTGCAGTGAACGGAAGGATGCAGTTTTTACATTGTGAAACAAAACTTGTCGAGTACGCACCAGTTTAATGTTTTTTCAATAGCCTAAAATTTCCGAATCTTTTTAGTGGACTGTGGATAGGTGCCAGGTATGAAAACGGTTTGCAAAGTAAAAGCAATGGCTAATAAAGTTTCAAGTTCTTCACCCCCAGCTAGAAACAACAGGATCTGCATTTCTTTTTTGCTTTGGCCCATACCTCGCATGTGGCCAAAAGTGGTGAAAGTAAGTGACTGAACCAGAGACATGAATGAGATGATTTTCCACCCCTTAAGTAATTAACATGATGTATTTAACCTTGCCAAAAGCTGTAAAGGAAACCGTAGTGAATACTAAGAGATAGTAGTGTAAACATAATCTAACAATTTGACATCAGTCAACAGTTTTAATTCAAATCTCGAGGCGACAATCACGCACCCAAATTTGATGAAGTATACCCCGCTTCTATCCCGCAAATTACTCATTACGCTGTGCTCTAAATTTGTTTGTATATTGGGCAGCATTGGCAATATACCGTGGATATTAGAGAGACAAACTTAAAATATTTCAAGGCCAGGTTTTTTCAATAACTCATTTCAAGGATCGACTCTTAAAAGGAGCAATCAAAACCTCTTTTGAAATGACATGGCATTCTTTTTCTGATAGCTCGCCATCACACTCAAAAATGTAACAGTGTATGACTAAAACGATATTTTAGCAGGGAGCCCACTTTATCAATAGGGGCTCTTCAAATGGTGGGCTTATAATACTTAATTATAAGTCCCTTCTTCTTAATTACAACAATAACTTTGACAGTAAATGGTTTTGACCCGAGTCCATTTTTGTTTGCTTGACAAATCTCAAAATAACTGAGAAGGAATCTATATTTCTTTCGAAGCCTTTTTTGTCTATTTTACTAAATGTCTATCTTAGACCCACATTGAGACATTCATTATTGGGAAATCAGGTCCAGTTGACAGCACTTTTTAGTTGCCAGTAATTCAAATGATAACACTGGCAATTGCTCAACACTTGCCAAAATAAATATAACAATTCAAAAATATAGAAATCACCCACATTCTATTGTACAGGATACGAATGACAAAATACGGTTTTATTTCAATGTCGTTTTTGGTTTGTAACTTAAAACATTTCCTATGACTGATAAAAGGGTTATTTCCTAAAGGTTTCTTCTAAATCTGAACTTAGAACTTTTTAATATACTTTTTTTTATCATCGCTTTTTTCCCGTCCATTGGTGATATGTTAAGTATAATAGTATTTTTTGTAGCATGTAGTATGCTGATAGTGAACACTGTTAAAATATTAGGTTTGACCAAATTAAGAAATTAAAAGCTTGCAAAATGGCTTTAACGTGGTGTTTAACCGAGGCCCTGTTCAAACTTCGAAATTTCTACCTTAGTGTATGGAACTTAACCTGCTTGGTCTACCCAAATGAAATAAGTTCGACGGCTGATTCAGACGTCAAACTTTATTAGTCGGACTCAATTCATTTTCAGAACTACAATATCAGTCAAAATAAATTATAGTAATTTATGTAGTAGATTCAACACAAGGAAAGCTCGACGTTTGAGACGGAGTTGCTCCATAGTCGAAATTCCCATGTGGGTCACTCGAAAATAATTCATGGCTCTACCCAAATGAAATATGATTTGTTCACCCTGTTCATTTGCGAAGTTTTGATTTTAATTTGGGATCTTCAAATGTCTTTGACAATGAGCAAGAGACTTGCGTAAAGAAAGCAAGTTCTACATTGTTTAACCTTGTTCGTGGGTGGATGAGTTAATGTGCTCGCTTTTGTAGTGGGCGTTTTCTACTCTGGTTGTGCCACATAAATATTTCACTTTATATTCTCGCACAGCCCAGGATGCTTTCAAAGAAGTTGAGATGATTTTTAACGAAACTATTTCGGAACGAATAAGTTAGAAACCTGACCAATGCGTAAGAATGCTGGCCATGGTTTCAACATCGTTTACCATCGCCGAAGTCTCGACTCAGAAAATATGCACCAAGAGAATGCATGTAGCCACGGTTATTAAGAAATTGAACCATTACACCTTTATTCTTCCAAAAATAGTGTTCAATTTCGAATTTACACCTTTACCGTTCTTGATAATGAAAAAAAAAACGAAAAGAAAAAGGAAGAAAGAAAGAAAGAAAGAAAGAAAGAAAGAAAGAAAGAAAGAGAGTGGCAAAGAAACAAAGAAGAAATAGTAGCATAGTAAAGAAAATCTCGTCAAAGGATCGTCATGTCAGCCAATGAATTCCTCTTCTAACATTTCTTTATTCCTATATTTCTTTTCCTTAACTTTAATCGATATTTTTTTTTACATTGGGATAATTATAATAACTAATCGTAGTCAAAATAAAGCTTATTTGTATAAAAAATTTTAATTTAATTTTGGCCTGTTGTGTGTTGACTTCTTGTCATGTAAACCGTCAAGGACTGAATAGAAGCACTGTGCTTTCTGAAGCGGTGTTGCTTGTTTGGAAATATATATTTACGTTGAAGCAAGCTCGACTTTTTCTTTATCTTGAAGATAGCAGCAAACTATATACATTTGTCAGTTTGTCACGAGTCATAAACAGAGACGGTTTTGCTTTTCGGCCTCATGCCTACTCTTTTCCTAGGAAACGATCGTACATTAAGGCCCAAATTATAGCACACCTCCAATCTATAGATCGTCTTCACATGATGCCACGGCGGCCATATTAGTGTCCCAAAACAATGGAACGGCGGCCATGTTGGTGACGTTGGTTTTCCAAACATATCTTGTAAGAATTGAGCTCTTTTGTTATGGAAACGCCTTTTTTGGTTTCAATAAATTCGCATAGATGCTGGCCACGTGAGTAAAACACTCTATAGGTGAACGCTAACATGTTTCACACAAAGCCACTTGTTCTACGCGGTACGAACGACAGGGACAGACTCGGATAACACCAGGCCTGGCTGCTCGGCAACTGAAGAGCAGTGGTTGGCTCTGTAGTAGACAGATGTTGTTTGTTGTGTTCAGTGATGGCGCCACTAGGCTTTCGAGTGATTCGACAGATCCACACTCAAAGCCAGCCCTAAAATGAAAAAGAAAAGGGATTTTCACCAAGTTCATTATAGACTGAGATAGAGTCAAGTTTGATGTCTGTACGTACTTTAATTTATTAGTTCTAGGAGCGTCAGGGGAAAAAACAAACGGATAATCTCTAGTCACGGCAATGTTGTAGTGCACAGCGATTTTTCGTGACTGGCATCCGGAACTTGCATCCAGGACGTATAAAAATGAGAGAGCGCGGGAAACGTGTTGCCACTGAGTGCAAGGTCGGGCAGGATTAAAATGTGTCAAAAGCCCACGTTCGATATATTAAAATTCTAACATGACTCCGGGGCTTTCTGGTCATTTTTCTATATTTGGTTTGGTTTTCTTTGTGCTCAAGTCTCTTTTGAGAATTGCGAGACAATGAATTCTTAAAAAATTTGCAATTTTAACGCTAAAGCCTCGGTGTCATGTTAGAATTTCAATATATCGAACATGGGCTATTCCTGACAGAACTCTACGGCGGTTTTCTACACTACAAATGGTCTGGAATTTTCTCTATATAATAATCCCGTTAAAGTCAAAGACGCCTAGCAGCGCTACAGTTACCTTACAAGAAGCGTTGCTTTTGTATTTAAGGACACAAAGAACTGCGGTTCGCATATCAGCTTTTTCTTGAGGCAGGTCTCAAGACACGATTCACCCACCCCTCCAAGCGTCATCTTCAATTCACTCAACGGCGGCCATCTGGATGGCTTGCAGAAGTCCTGTTGAAAATAAGATTATTTTCTTGATATCTTATCTCTTTTCCTTCTGTAAAGGTAAAAAANGCGGTTTTCTACACTACAAATGGTCTGGAATTTTCTCTATATAATAATCCCGTTAAAGTCAAAGACGCCTAGCAGCGCTACAGTTACCTTACAAGAAGCGTTGCTTTTGTATTTAAGGACACAAAGAACTGCGGTTCGCATATCAGCTTTTTCTTGAGGCAGGTCTCAAGACACGATTCACCCACCCCTCCAAGCGTCATCTTCAATTCACTCAACGGCGGCCATCTGGATGGCTTGCAGAAGTCCTGTTGAAAATAAGATTATTTTCTTGATATCTTATCTCTTTTCCTTCTGTAAAGGTAAAAAAAATCCGGTATTCAGTTCTTCCTTTATTACGCTTTCTCGTCTTTCAACTCGGTTCCCCTTTTCTTTCCAGTAACGTAAAAGCTTAAAGCTTGGTTAACTCGTTTCCAAGTTCTGACAGGAATTTTGCGCTGCACTTAGATAAGAAACTGAAACATTTGGATTTGGATTAGAAGTATCCAACATGCCTGAAGAATGAAGGACAGAATGTAGTTCATCACTTTTGAGAACGTTATGTATACCTGATTTTCAACGTAAGCATTAATTCTTTCCAGCATTCCAACATGGGTAAACTCATATGGTAGATGAGGCTCTTTCTGAAATGAAAATCAGGTGTAGTTTTAAGTGTACACAGAGAAGAGCAGAGAAGAGCAGTTTGGAGCAAGCGAGGACTAAACTCTTCATCGCCCCGCTATGGGATTGCCTCAAATTCAAAAAATGTAAAGTAGAGAGGAGAAGTGTGACGTCACGTTACCATGGTAGCAAAATGTCTGTACCTCAACAATCTTTCTTGAAAGAGACAGCGATTTGTATTGCCGAACGATGGATAAAAAGTACGGGCTACCATTTCTTTCCTGAGCGTTATCATGAACAGGAAAGTCATACATGTCAATGTTTTCGTTTTTTCCTTCCACATTTGCAGGAACACAGTTTGTTTAGATCCAGACATTTTGCTACGTGACGTACAGACTTCTCCTCTGTGCCGACGTCCATGCTGCGACCCCGCTGTGCCTCCTCAACCAAACAGGAGAACAACAACAATAATGGCTTGACAATTTTAATGAAAGCCTTTAGGCTACAATTTACCATGGTCCTACAACTCAGTTCTTTTCCATCACAGCATTTCATTTCCCACAAGAATAGTTTGGTAGACCAACTGGTTTGCTTTCATTACTTACAGTTCATTATGGGAGGCATGACAAAATATGAAAACTATCTTGCTACATTTAAAAATTCAAAAAGTTGATCCAACATACAAAAAAAGATTAATAGCAAGTGTTTCCTTACTTCTGTACTAATGATTTCCTTCAAAGCTTCTTCCACCTCTGTTAAATTATGGATATCCACTGTCTGAACGAAAGGTTTACCAACAAACACCTCCGCGTACGGATTTTGAGATGTAATCTG